TCTACTACTCCATCAGGGACTTGGGATCTCTCCCTCTCCCAACCGTTTGTACCCCTACTACGAATCTCATTCGGTGCTAATAACACGAGCAGCAACAGACTGGACGTAGGGACATTCAACCCGAACCAGTATAAACTTTGTATCCATTAGTGCACCATCTGGATCTAACGCGCATCAAATATAAAATTACTAGCCGGTGTTTGTTCGAAACACCGACAAACAGCTTCATAGATTGTTGTGAGCTGCTTTTTTTTTGTCAAACACCTTTTTCAAAACAATTCATGGGATGAAGCTCTTTTTTATGCTCTCACAAAGAATTGTAGATGAAGCTGAAAAAATAGCTTTTCACAGATCTCTTCCTCATTTCCCTCTCTGTTAGTGAAGCTGTTTTAAAACAATTTTTCTAAAATAGCTTAGCTTTACATAGAAAGTTGCTCATGAAGCTACTCTTAAAAAAACAGTTCCACTTGAAGCTGAGTCGCATCAAACGAGACATTACTTTGGAGGATTAAACAATCTCGTTTTATGACGTACCTCCAACTAAACACACCTACTGCACATAGAACTTGGCACTGCAGCCTGCGCTTGAGATATAGGCCTTGTTTAGTTACTCTTCTAAAGTTTAATCCCTATTACATCGTATATTTATACATACATAGAGTATTAAATATATACTAAAAAATAACTAATTACATAGATTGCGACTACTTTGCGAGATAAAATTTTTAAGCCTAATTAATCCATGATTTGACAATATGGTGCTGCAGTAAACATATGCTAATAGCGGATTAATTAAGCTTAATAAATTCGTCAACGGATTACTGAGAACTTACGTAATTTGTTTTATTATTACTATCCGAACATTTCCATGTGACACTCCCACGTAACACCCGACATAACATCACTAAATTTTAGCCCATGAATTTAAACACCACATGGCTGGAGTAGGGACGAAAATATATCGTCTATGGTTGGTGCATGGACGCATTCATGCATGCTGCATTGTTCATATCTGGTTTGCTGACAACTTGCAGCTTTTTAGTTCCCTTAATATTTTTTCCCAAAGAATGAATATGAAATGCAGATATTTTATGAATGAGAAGCATCTATCCAATCCTACCAAGAAGTTATAGATTGAGAAAGTGACATCAAGCCTTCATAGCAGGTTTATATCTGCTAAAGCTTCATTAGGTTGCTTAGCAGCCCGGCATCAGTTATCCAGATTTGATAAACCAATCGTTTGCTCATATTTTAAATATATTTATTTAAAAAGTAAATTACTTGTATACGCAATGCTTGCACAGTATGGTGTCTGCCAATTTTTTTTGGCAACAGATTTGGTTATAGTGCCCGTCCATCGTCCTGTTCGCTTGAGCTTGTTTGGCTAATAAGTCATGGCTGAAAGTACTGTTGGCTAATTTGGTGTGAAAAAAAATATATTATTCGTTGGCTGAAAAAGTACGGCTTATAAGTCAAACAAGGTCAAGCGAACATGGTGCATATCATTGGAGGGGGCCGTCAACATCGTTTTATATAGCTGGGATAAAAAGAAAATCTGTCGTTTCATGATTCCTTTTCAGTTTTGAACATTATTACTATAGAGAGGTTACCTGGGCCTAGCCCATCAGAAGCGTGAAGCCTTCTGTCAAGGGCTCAATCAAGGCTCAAGTCAGGCCTCCACCCAAACCTCTTGGCGTAGGATGGTATTCGTCGACGTTCTCTGAGAACTCGACCCAACCCAGCCCGCTAAATCTAATGGGCTAGACATACTAGGCCGATATTAGGCCCATCTATGTCTCGACACCCCCATTCCTCGTTTACCTCTCTAGAATAGTACTCCGTAGAATCTATGGTCGACGTATGGCAATATTTCCTGCTGCAATTGTGTCTGTTCAGTGATTTATTACACTATAAGCCAGGCTGCCTCTCTTTCTAGTGATTTAATCTCCTAAATTTGTGCCTACTACAAGTCTATATAAGCACATAAAACAGGTAATTGATGGCGCCATCTTTGTTTCTATCAGAGAGGGCTTATAGAAATTAAAGTCACCCAATATCATCCCGTTATCATCATCTTCAATTTGGAGGCTATTGCGCCACTGAACAAAATCATCTCTTTTAGGCCCATGACACGGGACATAAACAGTTGTGAGGTTCTAGGTTGGCCGTTATGTGCGGAGGTGATTTGCACTGTGACAGAAAACTTATTTATCAGAAGCACCTCGCCACTGAATTTAGAACTACTCTAGCCCATCAAAATTCACATTTGGGTGCAAGCTTCCTAATATAAGAATGATCAAAATGATTTCGCTTAGTTTCATGAATGCGGAAAATTGAACAAGCACTTTCTTCATTTTTTTCATTAACAGCGTTACAGTTGTCAATTGAATTTATCCCTCTGATGTTCTAGTTAAGAATACTCCAATCTCTATTAAGCCTACCATTGCTACTTTCATTGCCTACAATATTCATGACAATATGTTTTTCTGTAGAAATCAGATCTCTGCCTAAATGGAGCCAGAGAAGAACAACCCAAATTGAGAGTTCTATGAAACTTCAGAACCGGAAAACCTTGAGGAAGCATGAGTACCAAGCTAAAATTTCAAACACAGCACAACAGAGGGTAATGGTAACCAAATATGAAAGACAACAATGACAGGTTATGATCACACATCACATGAGTCTTAAAGAGGCAAATGTCGACGACAAATTTAATACAACGATAAGGGTAAGGGCATTCCCTGAATAGAGCTTAACTTAATCGACCACCACATCATTAGGGATTGTGATCATTTGTGACACCGCTCTTGCTTGGGCCGGCTTCATCTTCAGGCCTTGACGCAAGGAGTAGCTCCGCTATCACCTCCGAAGAAGCGACGCGACAAGTTTCCACTGCTATCTTCTGAATTTCAACAATAGGTATTTCAGGGTAAGATACACCATTATCAGCATATTTAGAAATATCAGAGAGTCCTGGAAAATCAACATCTTGACTAGTAGGAAGTAAAATATTACCCAAGAGATCTACTTGGGGGCATGGTTCCTTTTCCTTTGGTTTTTGTTTATGATGGTTGCCTTCTTTACAGAGATCACAGTTGGCTTGCGCCCATAGTGTACCAATAAGTCACGGACTCCTCCTTAGCTTCTAAGTAGTAACATGGGTGAGAGCAGCTCCAAATTCTTTAGGGAAGTTAGGGAAGACATTGCCTGCATGTTCGGGGTAGGCGTGTGGTTGTTGCCATGACCATTGTACACAACAACGTGTTCAACTTTGGCAGGTAGGGGGGCTTAAGCCCCCATAGATGTTGCTTTGCGGGTTCAGTCTGAAAAGCATGGTGGCAAGTTTCGGATTTGAGCTTTAAACAAATTCTATGTACTAGCTAGCAGTTCAACGCCGGCCAAGGGCTGAGACGCTAGCTCACACACCTCGTTTGGTGCTTCACTAGACATGGCGGATGATGAGGCGCCACTGGCATGGCATGGCCCTCGCCGCCGTGTCGTCGTCGATTAATTTCGTGGCGGAGGTAGAAGTGCGTGTCGGCAACAGCGGACTAGCTCCCCATGGTACGTTAGATCCAGGATAAAAGTTTAGAGGGGCGTATGTGAGATTCTGCACCAGCTCCCTCATTTTTTTCCAACCGAGGAACCTTCCCCATTTCCATTAGACCAACGAAAATACAACCGTTCAGCATTACAAGACAAGACAGTTTTTAGAAGATAGAACCTATCAACGGCAAAAGGAACCATCCTGGGCTCAAGAGCTAACCAGAAACCGGCCTAGATGTTCAACAAGATAATACTAACAGTAAACGTTGGAGCAGCACCACGCTCCCATCAAACCGAACCTACTAGTTAAAAAGGGACTTAAACTATTACATCACGACACACCAAAAAGTCTAACAGTAGCCCAACCCACAGTGAAACCTTTTGCTTCCATCAAACCACAATCTCATCCCATCTCGAACACATTAAGCTTGCTTCGGGTCGTCTTCGTGCTCACGACTCGCTGTCTTGAAGCAGCAACCTGTTAACCTGTCTTGCAGTTTGGGCAGCCAAGATTTCCTTGGCCACTCGCAGCATTGTGTTTGCCCCCTCCACCAGCTCTCTCATTTGCCAATTGCCATCATCACTTCTGTTGTTCTATTAAGCATCGCACACGCTGAGCCGCAGTCTCTTTTTATGTTGGCAGTGCTGCGATGGCTAAAGATCGAGATCTCCATCGCTCTTGGACTAGGACTGCCGGAAGCCCGGAAAGAACAATAGGGAGAATGGGACCGCTGTGCTAGCGCATCCGGAGATCTTTTCCAAAGGCTGCACCGAGCCGGTGATAGCCCAGACGATCTATACGGTTCGCACCGTGTGGCGTGTGCAGTTAGTTATGCGTGGCGACCAAATAACAGTGCTATTGCCTATTAGCACGAGAATATCGTGGCTTGAAGACAAACGGTCCTAATCGCAACACAGCATCTGACAGCTCGACAAATGGGGAGCTCCGGCACATCAAAGGCGAGGATCACATGCGCCGTACTCGGTAGCTCCCCGACGATTGCTCTGTTCCGCGGCCACGGGCCACGGCGACTCGCCGGCCCGGCCTCATCTGAACCCCGCAGACCTGTCAACGCGGGCGTTTTAGCTAGGAAACAAACCCGAGAGGCCGCAAAACTCCAGGATCTCTCCCAGCACCGGACGCCCCCACCGGCCCACCACCACAAAAAACCACCGCGCGCCCCCCCGCCCACGCCTCCACGGAAAATAAAATCTCCTGCTTTCTTCCGCCCGCTCGTCGCCAGAGACAAGCTCTTCCCCATCACCACAAACGCCAACGGGTTCCACATTCTGACGAGCCAAGGTCGTCTTCTTCCTGCGAGTTTCATTCCATCCTATCACCTTTTTACTCCTCCAGTCAGAGAACACCATACCAGTGGCCGCTACACCTGCTCTGCTCACTCCATTGCACTAGCAGCAGGAGCGCAGGACTCGAGCGGTCTTGGCAATTTGGCATGGCTTCTTCCCTCGCGCCCGCGTCGTGGGCGCTGCCGCTGCAGATGGGCGGGGCTGGGGCGGCAGCGGCAGCGGCGGGCCCTTCCTGCCGCGCGATGCTCGCCGTCGCGGAGCCCCGCTGGTCCGCGTCGCCGCGCCGGGCAAGGGTCCTCGTGGCGCCCCTGTGCGCGGCGCTCGACGGGCCCGGCGGCGCCAGCGGCGAGGCGGAGGCCAAGATCGAGGAAGAGAGGAAGAAGCCGGCGCGCGGGCGACCGGTGTGGAGGCGGATCCTGTTCGCCTCGAAGAAGACACGAAGCATAATCATCCTCAACGCCCTCACGGTCATCTATGGTCTGCGGATACTTTCTTTGTTCTTACTAATCTCACTCCCTCTCTCTCCCAGCCGCTCCGTTCAACCGCTCGATCTCAAACTCTACTCTGCATCATAGTTTTAAATCTCCCACTATAGCTGCCGCTATAACCCGCTATAGCCTTTTGAGGTATGTTACGGCTATTTGTGTGCATGTATAATTTAGCCGCTATATTTGTTATAGCCTGATAAAGCTTCGCTATTAGCTAAACACCTTAGCCCGCTATTTAAAACATTGCTCTGCATGCTTCTGTCATTGTTAAGAATAGCAGCGTATCGCTCTGTAGTACAGCTCCAAATACTCTTCATGCTCACATTTCTTTCTCCGACCACTGTGATTAGTTTGTCACAACAATTTAACAGTAAAATTGAGCCTTTTGTACTCATTTTTTATCCATTTTTTTTCTACCAGCAAGTGATATTCCGGTTTTGAAAGAGGTCGAAGCCCTGACAGAGCCTGCGGTCTTCAACATGGTGCGGTTCGTTGTTACAGCCATCCCCTTCGTACCATTGGCGGTCCGTGCCTTTGGGGACCGCCGTGTACGCTATGCAGGACTGGAGCTGGGAGTCTGGATTAGCTTAGCTTACCTTGCTCAAGCGATTGGATTGCTCTCATCTGATGCTGGCCGAGCATCCTTCATCACGGCCTTCACGGTAGATCCTGCTTCGCGCCCAGTTAATTCTGAATTTTGGTGGTTTTGCTGAAATGGCTTGAACTGGCAAATGCTAAATATCTACTGTTACTGTGCAGGTCATAGTTGTGCCTCTAATTGATGGCCTTCTTGGTGCCTCGATCCCCAAACTCACTTGGTTCGGAGCCATCATGTCTCTATTCGGAATTGGCCTGCTGGAATGTGGCGGCTCTCCTCCCTGCGTAAGTAACAACTTCTTCTTCTGTATTGACTGTTACTAGTAGTTTTTTGGCTGTTGTGATAATAGCTCTCAGGATCTTACAGAATGGTAAAACATCTCTGGCACAATTTCTTGCTTTCCTGATTTCTGTTCAAAAGGTTCTTTGTGCAACAATAATCACACTTTCATTGAGTCTTCGATCTTGCATTGACGATGATCAACCGAATTTCAAACATATAAACTTCTGTTAAGTCCTCAAATTTGATAGATTTCATTATTTCAAGCCTTTGGATATATTCATGAATTGCTTGCTTTGTGCCTTAAAAAATAATATGATATTGATTTCTTGAACTGCTTTTATTGTGTTCAAAGGTTGGTGATATTTTGAACTTCTTCAGCGCCGTATTTTTTGGGATCCATATGCTTAGAACAGAACAAATATCAAGGAGTACGGACAAGAAGAAGTTTCTGGCTCTTCTTAGCTTCGAGGTTGCGTGAAAATATTCTCATATCCTTTATACTGCTATATATCTTACCCATCGTGATGTGTTGTGAAGTTGTGAACACAAAATCTTCTGATAACCAGGTCCTTGTGGTCGCTTTCTCCTCTGTTCTCTGGTGTATGCTCCAAGATGGCTATGTTGATACTAGTGAATCCAGCTTTGACTCTTGGACTTTCGGTATGCTTTGGGATACAGCAGCTTCATTTCCTTGGATACCAGCATTGTACACTGGAGTTCTTTCTACGGTGTTATGCATGTGGGCAGAGGTCAGTCTACTTCTTTGAGTGTTCTAGTAGTTTTACGGGCGCCCTAGTTTTAGGGCTCTTCTCGTTTAATGCTTGCTTGTTTTAAGCATGTGGAGTACGTACACGTCCTCGTGCAGATGGTAGCGATGGGCGATGTTTCAGCAACTGAAACTGCAATTGTCTACGGCTTGGAGCCAGTTTGGGGAGCTGCTTTTGCTTGGTTCCTCCTTGGTGAAAGATGGGATAACACTGCATGGATTGGAGCTGCTCTTGTATTATGTAAGCTTGTGTTCCTTTCCTTAGTTCTTTGCCACTGCATGTCTGCATTTGCACAGCCTTGATCAAGTTGTTCGTATGCTACCTGTTCTTAAAAATTGATCATAGTGAACAGAAAACCTGAATTAAGTATTTCTTGGAGCTAACAGGATGCACTTACTTTTCATCAGGTGGCAATTTGACTGTTCAGCTATTTGGGTCAGCTCCTGCTAAATCCAAGAAAGTTAAAAAACACAGCAGTAATGCTTTAGAAACGCCAGTGAAACAACAAGAATACTTATCGTTATCTCCTATACCAGTTGATTCCGGGAAGTTCATAGGAAGGCAATTAGAAAGGTAATAACTTTAATGAGTTTATTTGTTGACTGTCTTACTTCTGCATTTGCCTGGTCTCTAGCCTTCATGTCTCCATTTATACATTACTGCTGTGTTTTTCCATTTACTTTGGTTAAATTATTTATTTTCTACAATATAGGAGGAACAAAACATTATATCCCAACTTCAAGGCAAGAAAGGAAATCCTGCGATGATAGGCTCAGATACCAAATTATTGTCCGGATGAATCATTTCTTGGCTCGTCACTATGGGGATGCTGCGCAATTGCTCCGCACGTTTTGTTTTTTATTTTTATTTTTTTGCCCACAATATCTTGGAGCTCGTATTTGGATTTCTATTTTGTCTCAGATGACCGTGCTAGAATACCTCATGCATATTAGGAAGAAATGAGGCATTGCTAGTGGCAACTCGAGGTCTAGACACATCTACTGGGTAGCGGTTGCGTTAAGTGAGATAACTTAGTATGTTTTGGGCACTGTTAACTCTATACATTTCATGTAAATATAATATATGTACACAGCTAAATGATTCTAGACTGAGCGTACCTTTGTATAATACTGAAATAACAAATACCATGCATGGTATTAAAAAAAACGCGAGCCACGGGGGAGTGAGTGGTATTATTTGACTCACGGTCATAGATTCAAGAATCAGGACATACTGTGTTCCGTTGAGATTGTTTTTGTGGCTGTGAATTTTTTGGTCGAAGGGCATAAGCTTGTATTCTGCTCCTGTATTATGTAAGCCTATGCTTCTTTGTTTAGTCATTTGTCTTTGCAGGTTGCAGTTGCACTTTCATTCATATTCAAATAGGCCACATTAATCTAGTTGTCGGTATTATTCATCTTGTCTAATGTTGCTTAAAAACTGACCATACTGAACAAATGACCAAGATGAATTGTTCTTGAAGCCAATTAAGTACTCCTGCCATCTCAAAAATATAAGCCGCGGTCTGATTTGGCGGTCTCCAAAAATAGCCTTTGACACATAATTCATCATATTCTGAACAGTAGCATTACGGTGTTTTCGTAAGATAAGCCGATGCTCTTTTGAGAGTGACAAAGAGGGCTTAAGAGCATCTCCAGCAGTTCCTCAATACCCTCCCTATCTCCATAAAACTATCATATTGAGGACAGCTATGCTTTTTTCTTGCTCCCGCAATTCCCCAATACATCTTCCTTTTTTGGTGGCCACCAATATTTTCCCCATCTCCCCTCAAATAAAGGAGATACAACTCCGCTTAATACCATGTGGATCATCCTAGCTACCACTTTTCAGTATTATTTTTCTTACACTCCTGTGGGACCCATCTTCCATATGGGTATTGGAGGAGATATATTAGGGTACTGCTGTAGCAACTTCCTCAATATTGACAAAAGATAATATTAGGCTACCCCAATATATGTGTATTGAGAAATGATTATTGAGGATGGAGATGCTCGACGTCTGATTTTGAGAGTGCTAGATTCTTTCGTTCCGCTTTCCATCCAGCATGTTCCGGTCCGTGGGGGCCCTTTTCCGGCTACGAGGCTTATCTCAATATGAGGCCGGGCCACATTTTTCTGCTTGGTTACAGAGCGGGCTGGGTGAGGCGTATTTACGCCAACTGGGCCGAGTTATACAAGACTGTCGTATCGTCCTTGACTGGACTGGACTAGAATAGTGTCTTTAGTAAGGTCCAACCTACTTACCTTTGTGGGCTTCGATCTTTGTCGGAGTGAACAAGTCGCAACCATGCACATGCGATTAGGTGTAACGTAGCTTTGCTTCTTTTATCACAAGTGGCAGGCTACAAATTTAGGTTCGAATCTCGGCAACAGACTTCCTACATATCTGGCTGCAACTTGTGTGCGTAGCTCTTGTTTAGCATAGTAGGAGTACGTAGTTTACTGGTACTTGGAACATGCTGTTTGTAATGTATGTAAGCAAAACTCCCAGCAAAACACGGCGCATATGCATATGAACGCCGAGTGGTCCTCTCTGCTCGCCTGTTCTCTCGGAAAGGCGATTTGGGGCCCGGCCGGGGCAAGTTGCTCGGAAATGCCAGAAATTTCCAGGGCTCCAACTTCAAGGCGCGCATGTGACGACTTCCTTTTTATAATACTCCGTGGCCGTGGGTCTCTTGCTTCTCTCTTTGGTTCGGTTGCGAGCTAGTAATAATCCCTATCATGGCACAACTCAGACGATAATCCAGCTCGCGCCAAGTATTTGGGCAAAACAAAAGCAAGCAAACGCAAGTATGCAACCACACCAGACATACGGGCACACTTACGGAATCGGGAGAGAGAGAGAGAGAGAGAGAGAAAGGATTAACCTCGCAATCAAATCGAACCCCACATACGTACGTTCATCTGAGACGGATGAATGAATAGCCGCGTTTTATTTTCCCAATATACGGGCTGGCTCGGATCGTTTCCGCAGTAGTTGAGATCATGCACCCCAAAAAGTTCATACATAAATTACTCATTCATGCATGCATTGCGAGACATTAGACCCTCCCAAGTTGCATAATATATACTCCTATATAACAGATAAACAAAGAGATTAGGCCATCACCTAGGCGACCAGACCAGTGATGAAGGAAAAAGAAGCCCAATTAAACAAGTGCTGATTCTTTGCAGTCCAGCTCAGCCACGGGCGTATTATAAGCCCCCAGGCCCCAGCCGTCTACATCGACCGGCCTGATTATGCCACGAACGGGGTCCCGGAACGGCGATTTTCTCTGGTGCGAGCTCAGGGAGTCAGGGCAGCGTGGGCGTACGGTGCGCAGAAAGCGACGTGCCGCTTTTTCAATTGGCCGTTAGGCCGGCCGGCGGGGCCCCGGCCCCGGCCCCCGCAACGGCAGCGCCCGGCCCCCGTTCGTTCGTTCGGTTCGTTTTCCTTCCCCATCCCGGGCCGCCGCTGGTGGCTGGCCCCATTGGCACGTTCTCCCCGCCCGTCCGCGTCACGCGGCTGGCTGTCCACCCAGTCCTCGATTCCGTTCCACAGGCTGGGACTTGGGAGTGGGAGGCTTCCCCGTGCAGGCGCGGCATTTTTTTGTTTCCGCCGCGTCATCGCGCGGGCGGAGAACAGCATCCTGGCGCGCCTTCTTTTGCCGCGACGGGGGGACGGACGGCGATCGACAACGACGTGTGCACGGAGGCCGGAGGAGAGAAAAAATCGTGCGCGCGGCGGGGAACGCGATCGACCCGCGGGGACTGGTGGAGTGAGTGGTGGGTGAAGAATTTCGGCGCGTGAGCTTGACGGGTGCCTTGAACTTGTGCCGCGTAGCTATGGCACCCGCTGCTTTTTTTTCCCCATCTCACAGAAGTTGTTCTGCTTCCATGCCACGGCGGAGCGGTCTGACTGGCACGTTTAAGCTCAACCGCGCTCGCCGATTTTTTTTTATTTCCTTTCAAATAATGTTCGTGCCTAGACATGATCCGAGCCTAAATGCGCCATAGGTGGACGCAGGCGTTGGTTGGTCCTGTGCTGTACAGGACAGAAGAAGGTTAGTGCTACCAAATATCAGATGAAGCTCCATGCTGGCTTGGCAGCCGCAGGCAGGGTTTGCATGCATGTGCGATGTGTCGTACCATAGGCCACCATGAATCCATGATTGAGGTCTTTCGTTCCTCGCGGTTTTTGCAAGATATTATCTCATCTATACAGTACTACGTACCAAGCGTCTATGGAGGCCAATTATGGAAGCGCTGCTATAACCATTTGCGTATGCAACACTGTTGACCAATTGCAGGGTACGTACGCCTCTTCCTCCTCCGGGAATGGCCAGTTGCCCGGTCTTCAGCTCTTCGCTGTTGACGCGCTCACCATCCCCCGCTGCGGCGGCTTCGTTAGTGCTGCTACTGTTTTTTTTTTAATATTTATCGTTTTATTTTGTACCTTTTTTCAATTGGTTTTATCTAGTGGCAGTAATTTATAGGCTTGTGATAAATGTCGTACATCGAAAGTAATGCTACCTCCGTTTTAAAACACATAGAGTTTAAACATCCTATAACAACAACATAAAAATACGGCGGAAGTAGCATAAGTTTGCTTGAGTATTAAACGAGCTTATAACCGAAGGAAAGAAAACGGATAACGATCGATGTACATTAGTTCTTTTTCCCTTTTGCTTTGACAAAAACACGTGCTTCTTTCTTGATTATACTCCTATATGGCTATAGTAGCAAGTAGTAATATATGCGTAATTAGTCCATGGAAGCTCAAAACGTACTACTGTTGACGCAGCCAATCAGCAGTTCACCACCCGACAATTCCCCGCAACAAAGCAGCAGAGACAAGCAGGTTGACAGCAAAGTTTATTTCGACGTCCAGTTGCAATAAACAAGGCAGGGTTTAGCATCAAGGAGCCGGCGCGCCGGCGGGTCTCAGCTAGCTGGAGCGTGTGGTGGGCTGCTGGCTGAGTGCACGGCGACGGTCAACTTAAACGCCTGATGCAGAAGAAGTCCCGGCCCGCTCATATGACAGGTACAAGAACTCCCTTAACAACCATGAAAAGGTGGTTTCAGAAACCTGGCCCCGGGCCGCTGGTTCTTCTCTTTGCACACACACATGACACACATGCTATCATATATATACGTGTGCCGCTGTATTTATAAATTTCCTTTTCGTTTCTTTTGGGTATTCATAGCTGTCTTATCGAGATCCCGTTTGCTGTTCATGGAAGATACTTTGCGAGATTTCTTCTGCGAGTGATTACGCCAGCCACTTGATGATGCATAACGATTAATGAATTTGGATGGGTCGTGCGATCGATCTCCTGACGAAATACAATCGGTTTAAGGAATGGCTTTAAAGTTTTTTAATACAAAGCTATTTTACTTCGTCAAACCAATATATGGCTGCCACCTCATCCATTATCTTCTTTGGCCGGCTAACAAAATCCGAAGCGAGCGAATCGGCCACCCAACAAAGCTGCTACGTGTACTGTAGCTAGCCAGTGCCAAAATCACTTTGGCTTGTCAAATTTTGGCTTTCTATAAGAAAATGGCCCATATTTCTAGTAGCTAACCAAGCATTTGGAGTCTGTTGTGATAGCTCATGTTCATGTATATGTCTATGCTTAATTGGTGGAGCCAGCATATAATAGTAACCAGTACTCCATCTAAAACAATTGCCATGCCATGTATATTATCTTTGCATACATGTATGGAAATAGTATCGCAACTTACTCCGTTTTCCACTGGATAGG